GGATTTAGAATCCTCAGTTTTCCTTTCTTTAGGTTCATTCGCTCTTTTTGTGTGTAGACAGGTGGGGTGACGCCGGCCACACTTACTACAGGAGTGACGTCCTCTGCATTCTTTGGTTACATGACCCCTTCTCAAACATCCAAAGCAGAGAGGATTTTCCTGAATGAAAACTTTCTTGTCATCACTAGTTTTCGCTGCAAAAGCAGGACACTTAGCTATGCCATGCGATTCTTCTTTGCAAAACTAACATGGGGGTTTAGGTCTAGAAGTGGATACTGGGATTGGTGGAGACTTTGGTTGAATGGTAGTACTGAGTGCCTTCGCTCTTTTAACGTGCCGCTCTTCTGATGCCCTTTCGTTCATTAGGAATGGTGAGGCAACAGGATTGCAAACTACTTTAGCTTCGTTTTGTATGAACTTTGTAAAGCGAGCGAAGTTGGGGTAGTCTTGGCTTTTGTCTAGCTCCTCCACTACAATGTGGCTCCATCTCTGTACTATCCACTTAGGCAGTTTTCTTAGAAGCTTGTGATTTTTCTCACAATCAATAAGGATATCTAGGCCTTTGACTTGGGGGATAGCCTCTGCACAGCTTTGGAGAAAATCTGCAAACTCCCTCAGTGCTATAGGATCATTGGCAGCTATTTTAGGCCATTTTGTGAGTTTAGCCCTAAAGGCTCTTTGGATAACGAATAGGCTGCCATACCTTTCCTCTAGAACGCTCCAAATGCCTGCGTATGCCTGCTCACTGTTGGGGAAGAAATATCCCTCTACTGCCTTTCGTGCTTCACCTGCAAGATAGCTCTTTAGATACAACATTTTCTCACACACAGGTAGAGGTTTGTCACCAATTAGTGCCATAAAGGATACCTTCCAATCCATAAACCTTAGGGGGTCGCCACTAAAGATGGTGGGCTCATGTACAGGAAGCCTGTTTAGGTTAAGAGCGCTGGCAAGGGCTTGAACTAAGCTAAGTTCTTCTTGTTCTGGAGTAGTATTGTGAGGTCTAAATGTCGGTACTCTTTCCTTTTAAAGTCGATCATTAAAGAGCTGATTGATATTTTCCTGTCGTTTAGCAATAACGTCCCAAATGTCAGTTGTAAGCACTGCACAAGCATCCATTCGCTTAACAATGTCTGGCGTCATGGATTGGCTGCGGCGAATGGGTTCATAATGCTGTTGTACTACAGCGTGCTTGTCTCTTATGTCATGACTGATATTATTTAGTTCTTTAGGTGAGCAGAAAGTTTTCAGCTTTGTTCTGATTTCTTTAGCTGCCTTCTTCCAAGTGTCATAAACCTTTGTTAAATGCCTTCTCATTTTTCTTTGCCTCATATTCCTGCATTTCTTTACCTTTTTCAGTTAAATGCCTTTCCCGATTGCTGGTTCTCACTCCTTGTTGCTCTGAGTCGTCGGCTTCTTCAGCAGGATTCAACATTTTGTTACTGTAATGTGTATGTTGCTCTATGTGATAACGTCTGGACTTTAACTTTTTGGAAACAATGCTCACATCAGACGTTTACATCACATAAATAAACAGATTAGCACCCACATATTAGACAAAATGTAACTGTAAATCCTGCTGATATACCATAACGTTACTTTCAAGAAGAATAAACCAATACAATTTAAAGATTGTAATTACTTAGTGCAATACAGTATACCTTTAAGGCTGTAAACCACAAAATATTTAAGGCAAGTTACTCTGAATTAGTGTGCAGACATTTTAACTTTGTTATCAGCAAAGTCCTTAATGGGCATAACACCTGCACCTTTGTAAAGTGACCATCAGAGTTCAAAGTGGAGGTAGGCGATGAAGCAATGATGATGTCGACTGGTGTAGAAATCTCTCACAGCTGACACACGGACCCAGCTCGACAGGCACGGGCTGCACTCATCTGGCATGGCAGCTAGCAAGTAGTCTTCACTCAGCGACCGAGTTTTCACTGTAGCAGTCCCCCGGACCAAGGAAGAAATAGAGAGAGCCTCGATGGGTGCATTAATTTTTACATTGAGACTCATTCAGAATCTAACAGTGCTGAGGTGCGCCAATGCACCGTGAAAACTAAACAAAAACACAAAGTACATTTTCTTAGACGCTTATTACAAATATGAACTCAAACAAAGCAGAAAATACAATAAAATATCAACTAAGCAATCAAATACAAGCTGGAAGTGCAACTTGCTGCTAACTAAGCGACAGGGCCCTCTACTGGAAACTACGCGTAGCTGCTCAGGCTTAGATCAATAAACAAAACTGGACCTTTACAACAGCCAATATCATTAATGTAAATTGCAATACAAAGTTATGGGACGCTTAAATGTAGTTTCAAAAGGATTACATCCGAGGCTTTGATTCATTGTGAGATTATTAAAGTTTTAAATTGTGTAACAGATACATATATAAAATAAAAAATATGAAATGTTGATTTGAAAACCTTTAAAACATTAAATAACACCAGCTACAGTAGTGGCGGTTAATTGTTCAGGAGAACAGTTTCCAGTATGTTGGCTGATCAATTTTTTGCATTTAAAGATAATCGTTACGCTGATTTAACGCTTTACAAGAAGTGTTTTTCATTATTATTTTATATTCATATTTACATACACTTTTTATATTGTTTATTGTGTTGTTGGACTAGAAATTTTTTAAGTCAACAGTGATAAAAAATTTAATGGGATTTAGTTGCATTTAATTTGTATGCAAGAAAAATGTTAAAACGTAAGTTACCACAAACCAGGCACGTGCAGAGGGGGGGCTAGAGGGGCTTGAGCACCCGCCCCTTTCCTGATGGATGCCCAAAGTGCCCTTTTGTTGAGGCAACTATTTTTTTTTTTTTAATTATTATTTTTTAATGTGTGTGTGCGTGCGGAGTCCTGTCTGTGCCCTTCAACAATAATATTTAACTATTAATCATAGTTTTGCTAAATAAAAGGATCTGGCTTGCATCAGTCA